TCTCAAAAAAAAAAAAAAAAAAAAACCAACAAAACGCTCAAGATTAAATGCTATCCTCTCTTCCCCATCAAGTTACAAGGCTGTTCTGCTCTTAGGTTCCCACAAAGCCCCTTTATATTTCTTTTATTGCACAGTGAAGCCTAACTATAGAAATACTATTAGAAAGATCAATTCTTTGTCTTTGCACTTTACAGATTCTCAAATATATATTCAATTCACTCTATTCTTTTTATATTTATATTTTTTGAAGAGTTCAACATAATTGTTCTTTTCTAGCAATGACTGGATGATATTCAATGCCCTATGGGGGGGGGGGAATGAACCTGAAATGCTGGACCCAAAATGTGCATAAATCCTGCTGAATTCATGACTCCAGCCTTCTTGTTCTCTTTGCAGGCAATTTCTAAGGAAAGTGGGGCTGGAAAGCCAGAGAACGTCTATTCCATCTCTTAAGTTGTGCGACTTGTTTCCCTGTGTGGATCTGCAGTATGCCTACCACCTGCACAGGGCAACTCCGCCTGGCAAAAACTGACCTGGATGCTACTTTTTCAAACAACTGGACCACTTCCAGCCCTCTTCTCTGCCAGCTTTCAATAGCCCTGTCCTATGAATCTCAAAATCTTAAAATGAAACACAAAGGTAAAGACAACAGTCAGCTCAGAGCTCATTGCTCTGCTATCTTCTCAACAACTGGTAAAGAAAAATTCCAATCAGATGCTGGTTGTGGTGGTGCCACCTAGAATTCCAGCACTCAGGAGGATTTAGTTTGAGCCCAGCCTGGGCTACAAAGCGAGCTCAAAGCCAGCCTGCGCTGCACAGTGACACCCTGTCTCAGAAAGATAAGGAAAAAAAAAATCAGCCAATTAAAATTATACCATTCAGCCTGGTGTAATGGCACACACCTGTAATCCCAGCACTCAGGAAGGTAAGGCAAGGAGGATCAGTGCTGAGTTTGAGGCCAGTTGGGGCTACACAGTGAATTCAAGATCAGCCTGGACTAAATATTGAAACCCTGTCTCAAAAAACAAAACAAAAATAAATCAATATAATTATACTATTCATGTTGTACAACCACATCCTTTCAAATTCTATTTTCAACTTCAAGATTTTCAAATCTTTTTTTTTTCAAATATTTTCTTCACCCCAAAAAGAAAATCACCCATCCATTAAACAGGCATTTCTCATTTCCCCCTCACTCATCTCTTGGCAGCCAGGAATAAGCTGCCTGTATGCAAGTATCTTTTCTAGATCTTTCCTATAAAGAAAAATCATGTACCTGGTGACATCTTATAATGGATTTTTTTAAATTTACCACAGTATTTTCAAACGTCATCTACCTTGCAGCATGTACCAGTTCCTCTTCTCTTACACAGCTATGTAACATTCTATTATATGTATATATTACGCTGCATTCATCCATTCAAAATATTTTGGAATGAGACAGAGGTGGTGGTTGTACAACACTGTGAATAAGCTCCACACCAGTGAACTGTACTTACTCTTATCCTTTGTTTTCCTTTCCTTTTCTTTCTTTTCCTTTCTTTTGGTTTTTTGAGACAGTGCTACACAGTTGAGGCTAGCCTTAAACTCACTATGTATCCCAGGCTGGGCTTAAACGTATGGCAATCTTCCTGCTTCAGCCTCCCAAGTGCTAAAGTTACAGGAATTGAGTCACTATGACTGTCTTGAACAGCACATGTTAAGATGATGAATTTTGTTATATGATTTCCACCTCAAATTACAACAAAAACATTTAATGCTCACAACAACCTGATGAATTAAGTCCTATTATTCTGTTTTACAGATAAGGAAGCAGATACCAAGGGGCTCAGGAACTTTCCTAACAATACACAGTCTGTAAGAAGCAAAGGCAGCTAGCATCAGTTTGCCCTCAACACTTAATGAAAACTTTCTGCAAGTTACTAAAAAGAAGTACTAATAAAAAACCTACTTTTATATATCAAAATTTTTTGTGGACTAGCCAGAAACAGAGCCCACAGCCCAGGGTAGTATAAGCTTTCAACTTGTTAATGAATATATGTGCCTACAAATAAATTCAATTACCTCTAAGAACATGTATTCCAAGTACTAAAGGTAAATTGGAACACAGGTTTTTTTGTTTTTTGGGTTTTTTTTTTTTTTTTTTTTTTTAATATCAGGACTTGCCATATTTATCTCCTAGCCAAGTAAACACAAAGGTGACTTTTTACAAGCAGCTGTTATCTGAAGCAAAATATTTATTATTTATGTGAGTCTTATGCCAAGCTTAATAAAGACATCATTTTTCAGAATCTAAATTAAATTCTTGACATAATTTTTTGTTTTTTCCCTAAGGACAGTTTGTTCACTTGTACAAAATTAGAAGGCACAAAATACCGGAACAATAACCACAATGTACAATACTGTTGTACCACATAGGCATAAAATACATCTATTAAGTCCCACAGAATTCTAACCATCTGCGTAGGAGTTCTGTTGCTGACAATAATTACAGCTTAAAAGAATCTACTTCCAGAAAAAAACACTCTTTTTGTGTCTTTCCAAAAACATTCTGTCCCCTCCTTCCCCCCCCCCCCATTTAGTCACTCACTGCACTGGAAGGCCAAGTTCAGCGCTATGCTCCTGCTCCTGGCCCTTGGAGCGTGGGGTCCTTTCAGCTGGGAAAGGAGGCCAGAGTGGCAGGCACAGGGTTAGAAACATCTCCCTGTCATCGTCCTACCGTTTGTTGTTCTACCTCAGTTCTCAACACTTTTCAACCAACAGGCATACGATTCTGTCTTTGCTCTTCTTCTATACACATGAAGGGTACACTACATAAACAGACACACAATCTGGAAAAATGGAAGTTAT